AGTAAAACAGAGAGAGAGAGAGAGAGAGAGAGAGGAAAACTTACTGAGTTCGGTTTTGAGAAGGTACCAAGTCCAATAATGGGAATGCTATTTCCATCACTTAAAGGTATGCGGTGATTTGCAGCACTGAGGTTCATCTTGGAGACAGAATCCGAGGTTTCAGCTTTCTAGGAATGATTCTGAACACAGCAGTAAGTCTTTCTGAAAAGGTGTCCTAGAGCCTATTTAATCAAAGAAAGGAGGACCAGAGGGAGGGGCCAAGTGAAGGAAAAGAGATCAACAGATAGATCTATTTCTCAACCTGGTTTTATTTTATCCTAGAAAAAAAGTTCTAAGCATGCATTTTTTTCTAGAAATCCTAAGCACACTTGTCCCTTGAACTTCATCAGAGGTTCACTTCTCTGCAAATATTAAAAATCAAAAGGAGGCTCAGCACCCATAGCACAGTGGTTATGGCACCAGCCACATACACAGAGGCTGGTGGATTTGAACCCAGCCTGGGCCAGCTGAACAACAATGAGTGCAAGGGTTACAGGCCTGAGCCACCACATGCAGCTGAGAGCAGTACTCTGACTTCTGCACAAGCCCTTCCTAAGCCTGTCCACTTTCACTCAATAAACTAGACACTATCGCTTGGTTGTATTTACATCCTAAAATTCCCTTCTTCAATCTTAGCAAGAACCTCTATGCAGGTAACACAGTGAAACTATTGCATCCAAACCTGGGCAACAGTGTCAGAGTATGTGCCAAAATAAATAAACAAATAAGTAGGCAGCACTTATAGCTTAGTGGGTAGGGGGCTGGCCACATACACCAAGGCTGGTGGTTTCGAACCTGGCCTGGGCCTGCTGAACAACGACAACTGCAACAAAAAACAGCCGGGGGTTGTGGTGGGTGCCTATAGTCCCAGCTACTTGGAAGACTGAGGCAAGAGAATTGCTTAAGCCCAAGAGTTTGAGTTTGCTGTGAGCTGTGATGCCACAGCACTCTCCCCAGGGAGACAGTTTGAAACTCTGTCTCAAAAAAAAAAAAAAAAAAAAAATCAATTAAAAAATAAATAAATAAGTAAAAGGCAGATTAACTGGAGAAAAGGCATAAAAATGTATTTAACCTGGATATATGGATACATGGGAGCTTCAGAGTGAAGACCCAGTCCCATGCTGGGACTCAGTAAACTATAGCCAAAATGCAGGTCTCAGAAGCAAGAGTTTTTTTCTGATCTTCTCTTGCCCTCTCATCTCTCAGTCCTGTTCTCCCCAAAGGTGAGCCACAGAAACTAGCATTACTCTTCCCTCAGGTGGGTCATGAAAACAAGAGCCCTTTTTCTCTCAAATAAGCCATAAAACCTAAAAATTTTGCCCTAATTTTCTCCCTCTTTTTGGTGTAAAAACTATCCATAGAGAATTTATCTGACCTACCTAGTTTGGCTGCAGATCATGAGATGCTCCTTCTTTAAAGAATCCTGCCTCACAGCCAAAAAGAAGGGATGGATGGTCAGAGAGGCCAACCACACAGACAGGCCTTGCTGGGTTTCCCCACTCAATTCATTAACATTAGAGCTGGTCTTTTTTTTTAATCCAATCATATTTCTACACAACTGCCCATACTTGTTGAATTTTAACATAAAAATGGAAAATTTCCAGGGCCAGGCATAGTGGCTCACAATTTGGTGAATTTTTCCAATGTTTTCATCAGCTCTCATCATTACCTGGCCACCCTGCCCTCTCTTCATCAGTGGTGATTTCTTTCCCTTCAGTAAAACGTTCAATCCATTTGCACACTGCTGTTTTCTTCAGGGCCTTCTCCCTATAGACCTGAACTAACATATCTTGGATCTCGTTTCCACTCTTGCCAAGTTTAACAAGAAATCTAATGTTTGTTCATTGCTTTAATTCAAGCTCCAACATTCTTGAGACAGCACACAAAAACAAGCAACAACAATAACTAACGCCACTCAGCAAGATGCTGCCACACGTCGTCAGAGAGCTCTGACACTCTGATATATCCAAGATGTGAAACCTTAATGACTTGTTTGCAAATGCTGCCAACTTGCGCAGTGGCAAGTTTGAGAACATAGTTGTCAGACCCTGTCTACACTCCCACTAGCAATGCGCGTGAGTTGCGATTTTCTGCATCTTTATCAGCACTTAGTGTTGCCGATATTTTTAATTTTAGCCATACTATCAATAATAGATTTGTTGTGGTATCTCATTGTTATTTAAATTTGTATTTCCCATGTGGTAAATAATGAAGAACACCTTTTCTTTCTTTTCTTTTTTGAGACACAGTCTCATTTTGTGGCCCTTGGTAGAGTGCTGTGATGTCACAGCTCACAGCAACCTCAAATTCTTGGGCTTAAGCATTTCTCTTGTCTCAGCCTCCCAAATAGCTAGGACTACAGGTGCTGCCACAATGCCCAGCTATGTTTTGGTTGTAGTTGTCATTGTTTGGCAGGCCCAGGCTGCCAACTCTGGTGTATGTGGCTGGCACCGTAGCTGCTGAGCTACAGGCACTGAGCCAGAATACATTTTCTTTTTCTTTCTTTCTTTTTTTTTTGCAGTTTTTGGCCAGGGCTGGGTTTAAACTGGCTACCTCTGGTATATGGAGCTAGTGCCTTACTCCTTTGAGCCACAGGCACCTCCCTCTTTTTCTTTTTTTTAAGACAGAGCCTCAAGCTATCACCCTGGGTAGAGTGCTATGGCATCACAGCTCACAGCAACCTCCAACTCCTGAGCTTAAGTGCCTCAGCCTCCCAAGTAGCTGGGACTACAGGAGACCACCACAGCACCTGGCTATTTTTTGGTCGTAGTTGACATTGGTGTTTGGCAGGCCCAGGCTGGATTTGAACCCACCAGCTGTGGTGTATGTGGCTGGGGCCTTAGCTGCTTGAGCTATAGGTGCCAAGCCCAGAACACCTTTTCTTGTATTTATCTGCTGTGTACATGTATACATCCTCTTGGTGAAATGCTTGTTTAAATCTTTTGCCCATATTTATTTTTTCAGAGAATTTATCACAGTGAGGAGAGTCAAGGGTGGTTATATATGCCTAGATGAGCTGGGAATTTCTGCAAATCTTCCCAGTCTTCCAGGTCATAGTCAGGGTGGCAGGCTCTGAACCCAGAGGTGCTAGCCAGGGCATGAGGGATGCTATCCAGGCCATTAGGAAGAGACAGGCTGTGTTTTAATTATGCCCCTAGACTTTTGAACAAACCCCTTTCTCTGTCTGAACCTTAGAGAAAACAACTTGTGGGGAGTGTACAGTTGGGCACTGGGTCCACAGGGTACCCACACATCTGTGCACACATCTGGCACAGTGGTAGACAAGGCAGCATGCACCTTTTCTCCTTGAATTGCTGTGATGTTAGTGAGGGTAACAGAGTCTCAGGGGTCCTCAAACTTTTTAAACAGGGGGCCAGTTCACTGTCCCTCAGACTGTTGGAGGGCGGGACTGTGGGCCCTGGGATGAGTCAGCTGCTAAGCAGGGCAGGCAGTGTGACAAAAACACCTGGCAGGCCAGATAAATGTCCTTGGCAGGCTGCATGTGGCCCATGGGCTGTAGTTTGAGGACACCTGGCCAAGATACTGTGGGGCTATTGACCTTGTTTGGGCCCAATGGGAGACAACTGATGGGGAGAGTGTGTGTTGGTCCTTTCCCACCCTTTCTGGTCTGCAATCTCCAGTGACTGTGTCCATTCCAGACCATGCCTACCCCTCCCTCCATCCACTCCTTAACCAATATGGTGGGCTTTCTTTATCAAGCTAACTCCAGCCCTCTCTTTTCAACTTAGAGAAAATTTTTGGAGGGGGAGGATGAAATTAAGAATGGAAGAAAGAAGAGGGGATTAGGAGAGTGGAAGTTAGATAAGCACAGATGCCACCACCTGCTGCTGCAGATTCTCAACCGCTTGTTGATGCCCTGGGAGCATTTGAGTGTATTCAACACTCGATCCAGGGGAGGGGGAGAAGGAGGGCTTGGGGACAAAGGGACTTTGGTGAGCTCCTGAAAAAGCATTGATTCATTCTCTCAAGTTGGCAAACAGTAACTGGGTACTTGGAACCCTAGGGTGAAGCAGATAGATTTTCTTCCCAGAGAAAAACGACCAGCATGGAGGGAGAGAGTGAAGGCAAATATTCAAGGAATAAGTGTGCCCAGAGGTTCAGCCATAAAATAAACCGCAGAGAAAGGGATAGGGGAGGGGAAGAGTTGCCAGTACGTGGAGTTCTGGTTTGGGGAGTCCAGCATACATTGTTGGTGATGAAAGAGCCATTCTAGCCCCTTGGACTGTCCTGCCCCCACCCAGTCTTTCTGAAGCTGAGAGGGAGAGGGGCGGCATATCAGGGTAGGTGTTTCTGAGGTGGTCCTGATGGCCAAGGATAGGGAGAAGTAGGGTGCTGCCTAAGGCTGGTATTGAAAGGGAGACATTTGCACTTCCAATCCTGCAGAATGGTGTCTGTGCTGGGAGGTGGCTTCAGCCTCCTCTTCCAGCCTAGGCTTCCACCACTGAAAGGCTTTGAATGGCTCCCTCTTTCTTGTGCCCCTCTGTGTGTGATGCCTTCCTGAGAACTCCTCCGCCAAAACTCTCCCCTTCTAGGAAGCTTCCAAGATAAATGTACAACATGACTATTGCAATTTTAGAGTTGAGACATTATACATTGTAACATTAAACATTATAATTACTTAAATCTGGAGGTCTGACAGTTAAGTTCATGAATTCATCATAGAAAAAGTGCTACATACCTTGTTGCTGAATATCATAACAGTTACCTACAAGGTACTCTGCTTGGGAAGCTATGCACTGATGCCAGTCCCTAGTAGTTTACCTTTCAAAGCGATTTTGGAACTCTTTCGGGAGTGACCATCAGAGCTGTTGTGCCAAGTCTGACAATTAAGTTCACCACTGTGCCCTTATATGGTCAGCACCACATGAACAACTCAGTAAGGTTTCATACCCTTAGTGTGTCAGTCTCTCACAGCTGTGTTTGTGTTGCTGTGTGGCAGTGGCTTGCTGAGCGGCATTCGTTATTGTTTCTTGTTTTTGTGTGCCTTACGAGAGTAGCTCTGATGAACTCCAGACAAAAGAGTTCTAAAGTTGTTTCGAAGGGTGAACTTGGCACTGGCATCAGTGCACGGCTTCCCAAGGGTGAGTACTTCACAGGCGACTGTAGTGATATGCAGCGATGAAGTATGTAGCACTTTTTCTAGGACGAGTTCATGAACTTAACTGTCAGACTTTGTATACTGTAGCTTTATACCATTCTATTTTGTTGTCATGAAACATTGCTTTGTATTTTTGTATTGTATTTTATAAAGGCAAACCTTTAATGGTAGATATTTATTTGCTTGTTTGTTTACTGTCTCTTACAGAAGCACGAGAGCTCCAGGAGGTCAGGGCTTTGTTGACTGTCCTCCTGTGCCTGCAACAATGGCTGATTCACAGCAGACACTCACTATATACTCATTTATGGACATAAATGCTTTCAGGGTGGTGATTTATTTCCCTCTTTCCCTATAAAGACACAGAGCATGTGCTGTATTCCAGGGTGCGTGGTGGATGCTTTTGAATAAGTGAAAGAATGAATAAAAAGAATAAATGATCAAATGAATGCATGCCTGAGCTTATAAGAGACATTGGCCAGGCTTAGACCATCATGGCAGTTGGCCTGTCTATAGGGAAATGCTTTTCAGTTGTTCATATTTTCTTAGCCCTGCCCAGGGGGAGCTCGATCATAGAGCAAGCTGGCTTTAGCTCCTTGGTCTTTTGCCCATTTTTAGAACTTGAATTATTTGTCTTCTTAGTGTTGACTTTTGAGATCACATGGTAGATTCTTGGAACATGTTCTTTACTGGATGTTACGACCCATTGGGCCCCTATGGCCCTGGTCTCTATCTCCGCAAGAAGGAACCAGGCGTGATGTGGATTAGAAGTACAAGCTTGTGGGAGATGGGCTAGCCCTTACTTTCCAGGCAGCCTGAGCGACCTCCGCACCAGTCTTTTATTGAGACAGAACAATACAGGTGAGGGGAGTAATTAACAAATGACTATGTGCTGAAGGATCAGGCTCTTCTTCCACAAGGAACTCCTGTGGACGAATGCCCGAGGTCCACGCCTCAGCTGCAGATCATCTTGCTTGGATGTCGTCTGGCTCCTGGTGTCTCCTACAAATGGAGATATGCTTTGCAATGTCTTTTCCTCAATCTGTAGCTTATCTTTTCATTCTCTTAACTGAGTCTTTCATAGAGCAAAAATATTAAATTTTGATAAGTTTTAATTTATTGATTTTTTGTTTTGTTTTGTTTTGTTTTTGAGACAGAGGCTCAGTCTGTCACCCAGGCTATAGTGTCATGGCCTCAGCTTAGCTCACAGCAGCCTCAAACTCCTGGGCTCAAACAACCCTCCTGCCAAAGCCTCCCAAGTATCTGGGCCTATAGGCACCTGTCACAGTGCCCACCTGGCTAATTTTTTCTATTTTTAGTAGAAACAGAGTCTCACTTTGCTCAGGCTTACCTTGAAATGCTGAGCTCGTGGGATCCTCCTGCCTCAGCCCCCCACAGTGCTAAGATTAGAGGCACACACACCTAATTTATCAATTTTTTTTGGATTGTGATTTGAGCGTCATGTCAAAGAACTTTTTGTCTAACTTGAGTCACAGAATTTTTATTTTATTTTTTTCTAAATGTTTTTTCCTTTCATGTTTTTCATTTAGCTCTAGTATCCATTTTGAGTAAATATTTGTATAACCCAGCAGATTTAGGTCTCTTGTTTTACATAAGAATGTCCTGTTTTTGCAGTTGTATCTGCTGACAAACACTGTACTTTCTCCACTGAATTTCTTTTGCGCCATTGTTAAAAATCAAAGATCACATCTGGGTGGGTCAGTTTTTGGACTTTCTATTCTTTTTCAGTGGCCAGTTAGTCTCTCCCTTCACTGGTACCGCACTGTCTTGATTTCTGTAAAATCCAAAAGTGTTTTAACTAGTCTTATTCCTTTACTTTCTGTGTAAGTTTTAGAATGAGCCTGTTTGTAGCTTGTTTTTAAAATTTTTCCCACAATTTTTGTGTATTTACAACTTTCCCCCCTAGTTATTAGTCATCTAGGGCTGCTATGACAAAATGTCATATACTTGGTGGATTTAACAATTGTCATCTATTTCTCATATTTCTGGAAACCGGGAAGTCCAAGCTCAGGTGCCTGACAGTTCAGTTGAGGGCTGTCTTTTTGCTGTGTCCTTGTATAGATGTCAGGGCAGCAGGTGGAGGAGGGAAAGAGGAAGCTCTCCAGTTTCTCTTATGAGGACACTAAGCCCATCCGGAGGACTTCATGAGGACCTCATCTAAACCTAATCACCCCAAAGGCCTCATCTCCAAATGCTATTACATTGAGCAGGGGGATTCAGGGCTTCAACATAAAAAACGGGGAGACACAGTTTAGTGTCCCCATACTTGGTTGCTTTGATATGGTATGTCTTCAGATATTAAGCCACCATTGACTTAATGTGTAAACTCATGTGTAAACACTTTGAGCCCAAACTCAGCTCAAGATGGATGTTTCTTAGAGTGAGCTGATTGCACAGATATATTCCTACGTGGAACCAGCCTTAGCCCATCAAGATCCACCAAAACCATGTGCAAATTATAAATCCAATTGATAATACTAATCATAGATGACAGATTGGTACATGCTGCCTTGAAACAACTCTCAGCCTTTTGGTTATATAGTATCATTTGCCCCTAACTAATATGTATTTAGTTAATACATTCCCTGGTTTTGGTAAGGGATGATACCTTGCTCAAGGCAGTTCTGGAGATGAGTATTTGGTCAATTCAAATCAGCAGAAATTAATCCACACTATACAAAGGGAATATCTGATGGTCTGTACAAGGCAGAGATCACCTCCTAATACAGATTAAATAATCACAGCATTTTTCTGACTTGAATAGGAATGGCAAGTTGCTGGGTTCAAGATGCTGCAGCTATGGACAGTGATATGTGAAGGACAGGCAAACAACCATCACAGTAACCTGTCTCCCACTCTTTTACTTATCCCAGAAAGTGTATTATAATTGTTTTCAATTGACAAGAATATGTCCATCAAAAAATCCTGGGGGGTAAAAAATCTTTCATAGTTACTTTATCAGTTATTTTATTGAAACATGGATTAATTTCTTTTAACCTGAAAAGTATACAACAGTGGGTGATATGTCTTTATTTTAACGTATTTTACTTATACACCGTTAATCTGGAAAGATGAATTTTCATTGTGATTTATCAGGCTTCCCCCACCTTCCATCTTAAATTTGGTGAACAAAGGAGTTTTGCGCAATAGTCTCAATTAATGAAAATTCGGAGAATGCCAAGCAAATCTGATTATTTTCATTTATTTTTTTAAAATAAATCTTTGTGGTATCTAGGGATTTCTTCAAGAAATTCAAGGCTTATTTAGTCCTAAGAAAATTTCCTAACTGAAAAGATTTTCCGAGTTGAGACATTTCAAAGGACTCGTCAGATTCCACAGAATACAGTCTGAAAATGCTGTGATATGGAGGCCAAAGATGATGGGCAGCAGGGGGGCTCATGCAAGCCTTGCAGGACAGAGACATGACAGTGCTCAAGCTCGCTGGCATCTGGATTCACACAGAGAACACACTATGTCTCCTGGTTAGACCCCGGAAGCTGTGTGAGGAATCTTAGCTCAGGCTAGAGCTCCAAACTGAACTTCCCAGAAGGGACTTCTCTATCTCTGTAGGCACATAGTCAAACTCGGCTAATGTAGCTAGTTGGGCTGGTTGTATGACATCAGCAAAGAAACAGACTGAGGAGGCGAGAATTGCCAAGGTAGCCCCACTTAGGGGCAAACAGATCCTCAAACTACCCTTACCTCATTTTGGCCAAAATCAACAATGTCATCGGGAGGCACACAGATGGAGTGTTTCCAGGCCAGCTGTAAAACAACTCTAGCATCCATACTGTTTTATTTTTCTGAATGTGGAGCCTAAATTTGGGAAAGGCAAAATCAAGAGTTTTCAGAGGAGAAAAGATATAAACATGAAGCACAGTCTCTAGAAGGAATCAACGTTTTGTTTCATCTAGGCACTAGTTGAAAAGCAGACAAAACAAAGAACAATCATTAGTAGAAACTTAAACCCTTATAAGCAATAAGAAACTTTTTGTTGGGTCGGTGCCAGTAGCTCAGTGATTAGGGCACTGGCCACATACACTGGGACTGGCAGATTGGAACCGGCCCAGGCCTGCTAATCAACAATGACAACTACAACAAAAAAAAAAGCTGGGTGTTGTGGCGGGCACCTTCAGTCCCAGGTACTTGGGAAGCTGAGGCAAGAGAATTGCTTAAGCCCAAGAGTTTAAGGTTGCTGTGAGCTGTGACATCACAGCACTCTTCTGATGGTGACATAGTGAGACTCTGTCTCAAAAAAAAAAAGAAACTTTTTGTTAAAATGTTTTAAGAGTATGCTCAAAGGAATGAAGGCTGTACCTCTGTGACAAAAATTAACTAAGTCTTTTACAGAAAGATAACCCAAGTTGTAATTTTCTCCCTTTGGTTAACCATTCATATAACAATTTGTAGTAAAGGAATTATTAATACTCCTTAGTGTGTAAGAATTTAAACATATAAAGATATATAAATACTCAAATAGATGATAAGTCTAAAGGTTTTGCTTTTTTTTTTTTCTTTTGAGATGAGAGTCTTGCTCTTTCACCCTGAGGAGAGTGCAGTGGTGTGATCATAGCTCACAGCAACCTCAAACTCCTGGGCTCACACAATCTTCCTGCTTCAGCTTTGAAAGTAACTAGAACAATAAGCATGTGTCACCATGCTGGCTAATTTTTCTATTTTTGGTAGATATAGAGGTCTTGCTCAGGCTGGTCTTGAATTCCTGATCTCAAATAATCTTCTTGCCCAGGCCTCCTAGAACACTAGGATAATAGGCATGAGTCTTTGCAACTGGCTTTAATTTTATTCTTAACATATAATTTTTATAAGTATATTAAATAAAATTATTTTTGTTATATTGAATTTACCATCTTAATCATCTACAACAATTTCTGGGATAGACAAATTATATACAGATATGTATCTTTTCTTTTTATTTTGTAGAGACAGAGTCTCACTTTATCACCCTTAGTAGAGTGCCATGGTGTCACATAGCTCACAGCAGCCTCCAACTCCTGGACTTAGGTGATTCTCCTGCCTCAGCCTCCCGAGTAGCTGGGACTACAGGCGCCTGCCACAACACTGGGCTATTTTTTGTTGCAGTTGATTTGAACCCACCACCCTCCATATATGGGGCTGGTACTCTACCCACTGAGCCACAGGACCCACCCTTTTTCTTTTTTTTTTTTTTTTTTAAATTTTTTATAGTGCTGAGGCAGGAGGAGTGGGTGAGACAGTTCACATGGGCCTGCTCCCTTCCCCAGCTCCCCCAACACATTATATAGTTTATCCTGTCCATATATTTATATTTTTCTATATTTATTATTGTATAGTCAACTATTTACATTACTACCATATTTAATGAAAGTAACCAATTATATTTTTTTCAGATACAAAAGAAAACTGTGGTACAGGAAGCCAAGAATTATCTTGCTATCTTTTTCAGCAAACACATATTAATTTATCTCAAATATAATGTGACAAAAATAAACATTCTACATAGCATCATAATAAGGCCTTGACACAAACTTAATTTATAACCATTTTAAGCAATAATGGTAAATTAAAACTATAGTTTGTAAGTAAAGGTCTGCATTTTTTGTCAGTGTTATACTTTCTAGGCATTTAATCTAAAATCTTAAGGCTAAAGATCACAAATAACTATTTTAGGTAGAATTTTATGACTTTATGACTCTTAGTGGTATGAAAATTTTATAATAGTAAATTCCTGAAAAAATCTTTTATTATAATTTCAGCTAATTGAATACAAGTTTTTATATACATATACGTATATTTATGTAGAGACAGGGTCTCACCACATTGCCTAGCCTGGTCTTGAATTCTGGCTTTAAGTGATCTTCCTGCCTTGGCCTTCCAAAGTGCTAGGATTAAAGGCATTCATGCCCAGCCAGAATTTAGAAAGTTCACATCTTGAGAAATTTAACTTCAGTCTTTTATGAATTATTAATAAAATATTGCTTTAACAGAACTTTCACATGATAAAATCTGAAAAAAGACATCATGTTATCCACATATCAATATTATCAACTCACTTGTCTAATTTATCCTAAGATTTATCCGTTTATCAAGAACATTACATAAACCTTTAAAATATGTATAATTTATAGGTTTCTGCTTCAATAACCATAATTTGAAAGACACTTTAAATCAGCAGTTCTCAACCTGTGGGTTGCAACCCCTTTAGTGATTGAATGACCCTTTCACAGGGGTCATCTAAGACCATCCTGCATATCAGATATTTACATTATGATTCATAACAGTAGCAAAATTACAGTTATGAAGTAGCAACGTAAATAATTTTATGGTTGGAGGTCACCATAACATGAGCAACTGTATTAAAGGGTCCCAGCATTAGGAAGGTTGAGAACCACTGCTTTCAAATTTTGAAATCGTATAACCTTAACCAAGGACATTAACTTGACTCATAATTAAGCTTCTTATTTTTTTCTTTGAACTCCATGCTTTTTAGCAAGATGAAATTTAAAAAACAACAACAAGAAGATATACTACAAGTTTAATATTTTTGATTTTCCTTTTAGTTAGGATGGGGCTAGTAATTTTTGTGTAAGGCCTTTCTCTAAAATATCAACAGGTATCTTCACTGGAAAATTTTTTAAAATTTCCCTTAGAAGTTTATTATTTTCTAATTCCTTTTCAGGATTATGCCAATTATTTCTTTAACCAAATGTTTATATCTCCTAATTTAAAAAATGTGATTGGAAGTGGTCAGGACTAGTCTGAATTCTATGACATAATCTTTGCTTTTCATCCCAGAGTTTGAGAAGTCTTTAAATGGTAGTGGGATATGAATACAATCAGGGTTTAAAATGTACATACCAATCAAAATCTGGAAAATAAAAGGAAAGATACAAACAAGAATGAGGGGAACTGAGATGGAGCTCTAAGTGAACCTGTTTTGAAGTTTTCAGTGGCCTTCGTTAAATAAATTTTTAAAGAGGTAATTTTTTTTTTTTTTTTTTTTTTTTGGAGACAGAGTCTCACTATGTTGCCCTGGGTAGAGTACCATGGCATCACAGCTCACAGCAACCTCAAACTCTTGGGCTTAAGCAATTCTCTTGCCTCAGTGTCCCAAGTAACTGGGGCTACAGGCGCCCACCACAATACCTGGCAATTTTTTTGCTGTTGTTGCAGTTATCATTGTTGTTTTACCTGGTCTGGGCCAGGTTCAAACCTGTCAGCCTCGGTGTATGTGGCTGGCGCCATAACCACTGTGATACCAGTGCTGAGCCAAAGTGTCTCATTTTTTTCTGTAATACTGCTTGGCCTACATACAGCCTTGACAATGGCTTGCAGTGGCCTCAATATGGCACCTGTGGTCTCTCAATTCTCACTGATGTCAATAATTACTGTCAAAAATTAGGCAAATGGTCAGAGATCCCTTATATCCAGGCATTTCTTATACTCTGCAACATTCCTTCTCTGTGTTAGTCCTGTCACCCTTTCAGATTCTCAAGGCATGGGTAATGCCAGCTTCTCCTGAAACCCTTCCACAGCCCCTATGGCTCCTCTCCAACCGTCCCCCTTCCTACAATCCCTCCAGTCTCTCCATTAAAACACCTGGGAAGCTTCTCTGTGTGGGTTACCTTTCTTCCGTCTATAACCTCCCGTCAGTCACCCATTCTTGTTGCCCTCCAACCCCCATGTCTATATCTTTCCCTTAAACAATACCCCATCCGAGCCCTCCAACTTCTTCCCCCAATCACCCTCTGCTGCAAGTGGTAGACAAAAAAAAAAAAAAAAAAAGGCAGAATTTCCCCCAGGGCCCTCAGACCTCCCAGTGAAATCTCCTTGATCTGGCCTTCAAGGTGTGGCAGTGCCTTTCAGAGCTCCAGTATTGAATTTTGCCATTAAGCAAAACTTGGCTACTTCTTAGAACTCTAAGAGGCATTCCAAATTAAACAAAATCTTCCTCAGGATCATGCTTTAAGTGCAGCAAACCAGACTTCTGGGCAAAGCAGTGCCCCATATCCAACCCCCCGCCCCCCAAACCATGTCCAGCCTGCAGAGGTCTGGCTGCCCAATCTTTCTGAGGATCCCATGCAGACATGGTCAGAATGTGGCTGAAGTTCCCTCCTGAGCCTAGCTGTGAAAGACCCACCACCCCTGGAAAATCAGAATGGCTCCTGGACGCCATCCTGAAAAATTGAATTCTAAGTATTTTTGCTTATAAAAGGTAAGCTGATCTTTTATCTTTCCTAACAAATACAGGAGCAACTTCACACTGCCCCCTTGTAAAAATCCTCTGAAAACAGGCAGGGATCTCAGTAATGGGTAATAGATGTCTTCTCAGGATTGCTGGTGGCCCTGGCAACTTCAACTGGTTCCTGACTCACTGTTCATCTTCCTCTTTGGTTATTGTCTGATAAGATCACTAATTATGATTTTTTTCTCATTCTCAGTTTCAAACTAGTAACCATCCGCCTCATGTCTGGATTTATTAATTGGATAGTCACCTAAAAACAACTCCGCATATTCTCACCTTACTGGATACCAACCAGCTCAGACCAAAAAATCTAAAAAGTTCCTGTAATGCCATTCCCTTACCTCATTCCCCTCCCTCCATTCTCTTTACAGGCAGCCCATACAGCCCATCTCCCCAGGAAGGAGTCAAAAAGATACTATGCCCATCATCCCACCTCCTTATAATAGACAAAAAAGACATAGGAGAATCAACCCCTTACCCTCTCCAACTGATGTCCCACTTAAGAAAGGTGAATGGGTTAACCTCTAACCTACCCCACTCCACTGGATGTCCCACCTTGGAAAGATAAATGGGCCAACCCCCACCTTCCTGACCTTTAAAATAAAATCCCCATTTGCCATTACCCCCATGTGTGATTTCTTCCTGTCCCAGTTGGAAATCTTAACCCACCTGCACCCAGGTGGGATAAAGCCATTTTAATTGCACAGAAATAAATAAATAACTTTTTTGTAGAGAAAAGATCTCACAGTCTGTTGCCCAGACTGATTTCAAACTTCTTTCTCAGTGATTCTCCTGCTTTGGACTCCCAAAGTGCTGGGACTAGAAGTGTGAGCCACTGTGCCCATCTCTTTAGTTGTGTTTTTGTACACTAATAATGAGTTATCCAAAAAAGAAATTGATAAAATATTCCATTTACAGTATCAAGGGGAAAAAGAGAAAACAGAAAAATTGGAATAAACTTAACCAAGAAGGTAAAAGATCTGTACACGAAAAGCTATTAAAACATTAGTGAAATAAATTGAAAATATAAATAAACGGGGAGCCCAGCTCTAGCGACTCCAGATCACTGATGAGAGTGAGATGCAGTGAAGCCACCAGCACCTTCGCTGCCACAGAGGATGGAAGGGAGAGGAACCGCCATGAGCACTGCAGCGATTGTGAGAACGAGGAAAATAACAGCTACAGCGGGGGTGGTTTGAATCTAGCCAATGACACTGGAGCCGAAAAGAAGAAAAAGAAACAAAAGAAGAAGAAAGAAAAAGGCAGCGAGACAGATTCAGCCCAAGATCAGCCTATGAAGATGAACTCCTTGCCAGCAGAGAGTGTCCAGGAAATACAGAAGGCCATTGAGCTGTTCTCAGTGGGTCAGGCACCTGCCAAAATCATGGAGGAGGCTAGCAAGTGAAGCTATCAGTTCTGGGATACACAGCCTGTCCCCAAACTAGGCAAAGTGGTGAACACCTGTGGTCCCGTGGAACCTAAGAAAGATAACCTCAGACAGGAGCCCTATACTCTACCCCAGGGCTTCACCTGGGATGCCCTGGACCTGGCGGACCGTGGTGTGCTGAAAGAACTACACCCTCCTGAATGAGAACTACGGGGAAGATGATGACAACATGTTCTGATTTGATGATTCCCCAGAATTTCTTTTGTGGGCTCTCCGGCTTCTAGGCTGGCTCCCCCCGCAATGGCACTGTGGGGTTCTCAAGTCGGAAACTGGTTGGGTTTATTAGCGCCATCCCAGAGAAAATCTATGTCTATGACACAGAGAAGATGGTAGAAATTAACTTCTTATGTGTACATAAGAAGCTGCGGTCCAAGAGGATGGCTCCAGTCCTGCTAAGAGAGATAACCAGACGGGTTCACCTGGAGGGCATTTTCCAAGCTGTTTACATTGCTGGTGTGGGACTACCAAAACCTGTTGGCACCTGCAGGTACTGGCATTGGTCCCTAAACCCACGGAAGCTGATTGAAGTGCTAAGCAGAAATATGACCACACAGCCTCCCATGAAGCTCTTCCAACTGCCAGAGACTCCCAAGACAGCTGGACTACCACCAATGGAAAAAAAGGACATTCTAGTAGTGCACCAGCTCCTCACCAGGTAACTTGAAGCAGTTTCACCTCATGCCAGTCATGAACCAGGAGGAGGTGGAGCACTGGTTCTACCTCCAGGAGAATATCATTGACACTTTCGTGGATGCAAATGGAGAGGTGACAGATTTCCTGAGCTTTTATATTCTTCCCTCCACCATCATGAACCATCCAACCCACATGAATCTAAAAGCTGCTTATTCTTTTAAAAAAGAATACACCCACACCCCTCTTCTAGACATCATGAGTGATGCCTTTGTTCTCCCCAAAATGAAAGGGTTTGACATGTTTAGTGCACTGGATTTCATGGAGAACAAAACTTTCCTGGAGAAGTTCAAGTTCGGCATAGGGGACGGCAACCTGCAGTATTACCTTCACAATTGGAAGTGTCCCCGCGTGGGGGCAGAGAAGTCTGGGCTGGTGCTACAATAACCAGTCACCAGTTAGATCTGGATAAAGCCACTGAGAATTCCAACCAGGAAATGGAACCCCACAAATTGGTTTGATTTTCACAAATGTGAGAATCCCTGGCAAAGGGAACAGAGCTTAATTGGCTTTAGGAAATCGCCAGCGAACTTGACAATTGTATTGCAAGGGAGTGGGCTGTGTGATGTCACCTTTGGCTGTGTCTCTGGTCTCCCTGTTTTCCAGTTAATCACATCTTCATGCAGCCCTGATCAAAGGAATGTAACTGCTGAAAACTGGCTTGTGATTGGCATATTATGGAATTAATGGGTGAATAATAAAAGTATATATATATAAAGAAAATATAAATAAATGGAGAGCTATCTCATGAATATCATGTTCATGTTGATGATTTGAAAGAACTAATATTATTAAAATGTCCATACCACCCAAGGTGATCTACGGGTTCAAAGCAATCCCTGTCGAAATTACAATGGCACTTTCCACAGAAGTGGAAAAAAGAAATCCTAAAATTTGAATGAAACCAGCTGGTGCACTGGTGCTTACGGCTAAGTGATCACAACCAGTTACTTAATTTGTTCCTTCTTCTCTCCCACTGCTTTATTTGACTGGCTTTTAAAAATGAAATTAAAAAAAGGGATATGAAGGAAACCAGAAAAGAAGCCAATGGGCAAAGCAATCTTGAGCAAGAAGAACAAAGGTGAAGGCATCCCACAACCTGATTTCAAAATACATGCATTCTGTAAGGCTGCATGTGCTGGCTCATGCCTGTAATCTCAGCACTTTGGGAGGTAAAGGCAGGAAGAATGCTTGAGTCAGGAGTTTGAGACCAGTCTACGGAAACAAAGTGAGACCCTGTCTCTAAAAAAATAAAAAAGTTTAGCTGGATGTGATGGCACACACCTTTAGTCCCAGTTACTAGGGAGGCTGAGGCAGGAGGATGGCTTATATCCTGGAGTTTGAGGCTGCAGTGAGCTATAAGGATGCTACTGCACTCCAGTCTAGAGTGAGCAAGACTCAGCTCAGACTCTGACTCAAAAAAATTATATATGTACATATACACACATATAAATATACACACATGTAAACATATATATGTATGTATAGGTAGTCCCCGTGTTATAGACAACCTGATTTGTAGTGTTGCATACTTCTGAACAAGCTCCTAAAGCTCTCCGTTAGGATAATTTATAGTTTGATAATTAAATGATATACTAATTAGTAATACTAATTAATATATAGTTTAATAATTTGAAACTAATTTCTTCCACACATGTAAACAAACCCACATGGCATGGGCTGTTCACTGGCACAGCATCTTTCTGCTAGTAGCTATTCTCATGGGTGGATCAGATGGACAGAGAAGCCACCGATGGACAAGAATAGAAAGAAGATCCAAAGCAAGGAAAGTTTAAGACAAATAAATTACTGGAAGCCAGTCATCTCACTGAGAAGAATTCGTTAAGCTTGAGGAGCAAGATCTTAACACTAAGTTGTCTGCAAAGGTTTACCATGAGTTAGTGAGAATGTCAGCTCCTACAAGGCCACCTGTGTTTAAAAAAAAAAAAAGAAAGGAAAAGAAAAAGTCTGTGGCAAGTAACTATATATCTTTTTCAAGAAATCGACTTCAGTGGTAATCTCAAGCAACAGAATCAAATCCTGATTACTCAGCACCCATTTCATCCTTTCCATCCTCCTCCTCCTCTTCCAATTAATGTTAGCCTAGCTTCTTGCTTCAAAAATGTCCCTTTTAGTCTGGGTGCAGTGGTTCATGCCTGTAATATCAGCACTCTGGGAAGCTGGCAGAGTGGATCCCTTGAACTCAGGAGTTCAAAACCAGCCTGAGCAAGAGCAAGACCCCATCTTCACTAAAAATAGAAAAATTAGCCAGGTGTTGTGGCAAGGGCCTGTTGTCCCAGCTACACAGGAGGACAAGGCAAGAGGATTGCTTGAGCCCAAGAGTTTGAGGTTGCTGTGGACTATGGTGATGCCATGGCACTCTACCCAGGGTATAGAGTGGAACTTGGCCTCAAAAAAACCCTCTCAAACTCCCTTTCTAGTAAGCAAGACCTTGATGCAACATTATGCTAGTGTTAAGCTTTAATATTCTTTTCTTTAAATTTCTCTCATGTCCTATCTTAACTTTTTGTATCACTTTGTTTTTAGGTTCTGTTTGTTTGAATTAAAGGAAAGAGCACAATAGTTCTGTATCTTATTATTTCAGTATAGGGATATTATACAGTATACACTGTATTATTATTGCCACAGAGGAGCCTTTGTAGTACTGTTATTATTATTATCACCATTTGCTATTCATCAAGGATCCAAATAAGATATAAATCCAACATAAACACATTCTGAGGAACATACCTTATTCATAACCTGGGGACCACCTCTACTACAAAGCTACAGTAATCAAAACAGCATGGTATTTGCTGGGCATGGTGATAAGCACCCGCAGTTCCTGCTACAAGGCTGAGGCAGGAGGATTGCTTGAGCTCAGGAGTTTGAGGTCACAGTGAGCTATGATTATGCTATTGCACTCTCACCTGGGTGACAGAGCAAGACGTTGTCTCAAAATAAATAAATAAGTAAACAAACAAACAAACATATACTGGCATAAAAACAGATGTAAAAGCAATGAAAAGGAATAGAAAGCCCCAAAATAAATCCACACATTTACTGTTGTTTGAACTTTGCCAAAGTTGCCAACAACACAGAGTGGGGAAAGCATAGTCTTTCAATAATTAGGGTTGGGAAAATTGGATATCCACATCCCTTATTTCCTGTAGCTGGGCAGGTAAATTAGTATAGCCATTAGGGCAACGGTATGGAAATACCACAAAAAAATAAACATAGAACTACTGTATGCTCAAGCAATCCCACTTATGGGTATATATCCAAAGGAAATAAAATTGGATCTTTGTGCCATATAATATACAAAAACCAACTCAGAATGGAGTAAAGACTGATGTAAGACCCCCAAACTGTAAAACTACTAAAAGATAGTAGGGAGAAAGCTTCTTGACATTGGTCTGGGCAATGATTTTTGTATACAACCCGCAAAACACAGGAAACAAAAGCAAAAATAGACAAATGAGATTTCAAGGAACATTAAGGTAAAAAGCTTCTGTGTAGTAAAGG